AAAGAAATTCTCGAAGAAGCACACTCTACCGCTTATACAACACATCCAGGCAATACAAAAATATATCGAGACCTTCGAAATACATTTTGGTGAAGAAATATGAAAAGAGAAATATGACTTTTTATAATAAATGTATGGTCTGTCAACAAGTAAAAGATGAACATCGAGACCTTCAGGGTTTCTTAGACCACTAGATATATCGGAGTGGAAATGGGAACACATTAACATGAATTTTATGGTAGGATTTTCGAGATCGGCTAAAGGAAATAATGCTATCTGGGTAATAGTGGATCGTCTTACAAAGTCAGCACATTTTCTTCTAGTTAAGATGACATTTACCGTGGAACAATATGCACAGGTTTATGTCAAAGAAATAGTCAGGTTACATGGGGTTCTTGTTTCTATTATTTCAAATAGAGACCCGAGATTCACGTCAAAATTTTGGCAAAGTCTACAAAATGCTATGGGAACAAAACTGAAATTTAGTACTGCATATCATCTACAGATTGATGGACAATCCGAAAGGACAATTCAGATCACACCCTTTAGTAGAATTTGCCTATAACAATAGTTTTCAAGCAACTATAGGCATGGCACCTTACAAGGCACTATATGGTAGGAAGTGCAGATCACCTATCTACTGGGATGAGGTTGGAAAAGGAAATATTCTTGGACCTGAGATCATAGATCGAACAGTACAGCTATGGAAAAGATTCGAGACAGAATTAAGATTACTTAAGACAGGCAGAAAAGCTATGCCGATAGAAGAGGAAAAGATCTCGAGTTCTAAATTGGTGACAAAATATTTCTGAAAGTAGTTCCAATAAAGGGAGTACTTAGATTTGAAAAGAAAGGAAAATTGAGACCGAGATTCATTGGACTATTCGATATATTAGAAAGAATCGGAGATGTGGCATATAGACTGGCACTGCCACTAGAACTTTCAGTAGTAGATAATGTTTTTCACGTATCAATGTTGCGAAAATACATATAGGATCTTAGTCATGTGATCAACCATCAAAATTTAGATGTACAACATGATTTAACCTATGGAGAAATGCCATTGAGGATATTAGAAAGAAAGATTCATGTACTGAGAAATAAGGAAATTTCCTCAATCAAGGTCCTATGGCATAACCATGGAGTGGGACAAGCAACTTGGAAAAAGGAAGATGAGATGAAAATCAAGTATCTCGAACTTTTCAACTAACCCAATGTGAATTTCGAGGATGAAATTATTTTAAGGAGGGTAGGTTGTAGAATCCTGAATATTTCTTAGTTAATTCGCATTTATTTTATTTTCCATTTAATAAGAATTGAATATGTTAATTATTAATAATTATAAAATCTAATTAAGAGATAAATGATTAAAAAACGTAATCATAGCTTACAAATTTTGGTCAAAGCAAATCATGTGGAATTTGAATTCTTTAATTGACTTTAATATTGGAATAAAATTTGATTATGCATACAATTCATCCATTTTTTTTCACATGTGCATGAATTATGCAATCATGATGTCTCCTAATTGGACCAATTTCTGGGATGATTGAACGAAATTTAAAGCCCCACTAGCATGATTAATTCCTACGTGGTTACTACATCATATTTTAGTATACTATATATATGACATAAAACCTTAAGCATTCTACAATTAATTCCTCATTTTATAGTACACTTCCATACGTCCATTCTCTTTCCCTCTTTAAAATATTTCTCCATATTATTAAGGGTTTTCAAGGTTTTGGAATTACAATAAAGAATCACATTTTCTGCAATTTGTTCTCCACATTCATCTTCAAAAGGTAATATGCTCAGTGCTATTAGTAGTTTTTCCACATCTTTCAAATACGTTGTTATGTGTGAATTTAATTACTTCAATTCAGGGCTCTTTTGAGAGAAATCACGATACATTTCTTGGCACAATTTAGCATTCACGTTATTTTGCAGCGCTAGCTTGAATTATCATTTCTCATTGTGTGATAATTTTCATTTTATGTTGGTAAGAGAATTTATGCGTAATTTCATGTTTGATTTGAATGTAGAGTAGCAAGCATCTCATTGAGTATAATTCGTTATACTTATCCCTCTTCAATTACAATTTTCAGGTAAAAATTAGTATGTTGGACGGTGGTGGATGGATTTGCTATTGGACCAACGGATCCTTATCATGAAATACTTTAATTTTTGGAAACACTAGAATTTTTAATAATATTTGATTATCTTTCTGACTCAATTGTGAGTTCGTTATTACTTTCAACTAGTTCTAATTTTATTATTTGTTAGAACTAATTTTTAATAATGTTTGCTGAAGATTATGATTCCAAAACGTTCCGCATATTTTATTAAATTTAATTTATTTTTGTTAAAAATTATTCAATTTTTACTAAATTTCTCGTTATAATAAAATTATTTATTTCAAGCACTCTGATAACTTCATGTTTCGTAACGCGTCGGGTTGCTAGAATTCGGGGCGTGACACCTCTTATGTCCAATTATTAAAGCTTGTGCTTTTCTTCTTGAAAAGTTCTAATACCACTTGAAAATTTAAATTTAGCCAATTTATTTTGACACAACGTACGGAATTATACAATTAAAAACAGTAAATCACTTTTTATTTTTTTCTAGACGACCAATCAATCACATTAGATTATCCTATGTTTGAATGCCACAATCAATAATATAAAAGCAATAAACAACACAAAATATGTTGATGGAGAAAACCCAATTGAGTAAAAATTTTGGAATAAAGCCATTAATCTCAACTGCAGACAATATGAACTTACAGTATTATCCAGGCTAGAAAACCCACCAGACCTACTGATCTAATTCCTGCAATATCCAAGACCCGTTGTAACGTGCTTTAATCACACATGTTCTCGATTTTCTAGAATTGTTTATCTCCTGTGGATCACCAAGAATACCTTGTTCTTGTACCCTTCTTATATTTCTAGTCCAACCTCCCTCAATCTTCAACAACATCTGAAAACTATTAAGAGAGTACTTTCATGTATGTGTATAGAAAGTGAGTGTTTTGGATCATGTGAAATTGATTTTTTCCCCCAAAGTTGAGGTTGAATGATTTCAAGGATCAAAAGATTAATCTAAGCCTTGATTGTAGTCTTGGATCTTGAAAATATGACATGACAAAGTAATAAAATGAATAACCACTTTTACAATTTCAATTGACCCTATGACTTTTACAATTTTTTATATTAGTCGTTTTGTCTAAAGAATTGTCAATACAATTAAATCCTAACTATATACATCTCTTTTTGGAAACCTCAAGTTTTGATGATTATACCATTAGTTTAGAGTAAATACTCTAAATTATTTATTATTTTGTGGATGATCAATCAATAATGGCAAATAAAACACAATTTTTGTAGACATATAATCGAACATTCATGCTCTCTTGGTTTTAATGCGAGATAACAATATTAATCAATACATTCTTATAAACTATAAACCATAGTTATTCCAGTTGACCAATTTCGGGAAAAATTCAATCATGGTGAAGTGACAAGGGTAGTTTTTGAATGAGAAAGTAGAGGTCACGTGAATGTCGTTAGGATTCCTCTTTTGGAGTGCTCACGCAAGGTTTTTGCCTATTTGGAGTGAAGGGTATCCCTTTCTTCTCTCACACCCTTCACATCCTTCGTTACCTCATTTTTGGAGTTGGTATAAAATAGACTTGGTCCCACCAATAAGTTCTGTCTCAGGAACATTAAATTATGAGATATTGAGATTAGAAATCGCAATTCGTTTCCCATTAATTGATTTAGTGAAATTTCAATGAGTCATTAAATTGATAATTTGATTACTAAACTTTTAATTTTAAAACTCTATCACGTAACTCAAACTAATGGTAATTACTTTGTTTGTCGTTGTACATTAACTATTTTTCAGTTAATTGCTATGTAGCAACTAAATTTTAGGTTGGAATTCAAACTTTTTGAGTTTTTCGATGGAACTTTTTGTTGGTAACTAATATAATAGTTTCAGAATTTTACCTCCAATGCTTACCAACAGAATTTTCCGTTGGTATATCAATTTATCATTTTTAATATTTTTTCCAACGAAATCATCCGTTGAGAAATTCCGTCAATAAATTATTTAATTTATTATTTTTAATTTTTAAATTTTTACCTACGGATTAGCAACGGATATTGTACCAACAAAATACTTCTATTGGTAATTCTGTCGCTAAATTAATATGTAATTTTTAAAAATAACAAAATGATAAGTTGTTACAAAGTCATTGTTAATCCGTTTGGTAGTAGCAATAGAGGACGACCATCGCTAAAATTCCGTCTCTATTGCTACCTTTTGTAGTAGTGAAATGTAGTTCTTGACAATTATGTGTCAATGAGAAAAATAGCATTTATTATGATTTGACGTGTAATTTTGAAATAAATAGGGCAAGGTTATGTGCCAAAATTTTATTGGCCAATAAAATTTTTAATTGCAAAAATGTCCATTTTTGTCTTTGTGTGGAATAAAAAATGTCCATTTTTGTCTCAGTGCACGAACCGAATAGATGAACAGTGGTGTGAACTAATGTTACATGAAGGAATGATGAATTCCAAAAGCCCCTCTTTTTAGAGAGGAGTACAAAGAAAAAAATGTTTGGAATTAACTCGAATTTAATTTTCTTAGAACTAATATGGGATTTTAATCAAAAGTAAATCAATTAAACCATAATGTCAATTCGACTTGAAAGTAAAGTAATTTAGACTTGATTAGGATTTGAAACTTTTTCAAAATTCTTATCCAAAACTCAATCGTCAGTCTCAGTCGTCAATTTCGTGGACCCCATTACTTTTATCAATGTTGACCACACATTTCAAAAAAACTTATCCACTTTTTCCACTTACTATTAGCTCAAAAAAATTGGGCCTGAGTAAAATAAAGGCTCAATTTCCCTATAAATAGCATGTTGAATTGGAGTGGGGAGATCACAGAAGCAAGAGCAATATTCCATTAATATAGCTAGAGCAATGGAAGGCACATATTCCTCGGTACGGTTGCCAAGATATGTCGTATTGCAATCGCAATACAATTCTAAGTACTTGAGCTACATCAATGACAACACCCAGCTTCATGGATTTCTGAGGTTCTCTGGGAAGCAAGCTGTGAGCCCATACGCAAAGTACGAAGTGGAGCGTGCAAAGAGTAGTGCCAACACGGGACTTGTGCACATAAGATGCAGCTACAACAACAAATACTGGCGCAAGCAATCGGAGAATTCTCTTTGGATTGCAGCCTTGGCTGATGAATCAAATGAAAACCATTCTGATTGGTCATGCACTTTGTTTGAGCCCGTCTACGTGAATGGTCAAGATGCTACTCAAGGCGTTCGCTTTCGTAGTGTTCAAAACAAGCACTATGCATGCTTGTGGCGAGCCGCAGAACCCTATTCTTCCTGCTTGTATGCAGGTTCAGAATCTCCTAACAATGAATTGTGCGATGTGTGCACAATCATTGATTGGGAAACCTTGCTGGTATTGCCTAAGCATGTCGCCTTCAAGGGCGATAACGGGAAATACCTTACCGCTGCCTTCCAAGAGCGCCACCAATACCTCCAGTTCTCATCTGATGACATTGGAGCTCCAGGTGTGGGGAATGAGGTGTTCATTACCAGTAATGGCAGCGTCGTCATCAAGTCTGATTATTATGGCAAATTCTGGAGGCGCAGCCCTAATTGGATATGGGCAGATACTGATCTTAATATTACTGATCCATCCTCCATCGACAACACCAAGGTTAGCAATGACTTGCTGTTTTGGCCCATTAAACTTGGAGATAAGGAGGTAGCTCTCCGCAACTTGGGTAACAACTACTTTTGCAAGAGGCTCACAACTGAGGGAAAGGAAAGCTGTCTGAATGCAGGAGTGTCCACAATTTCGAAGGAGGCTAGGCTTGAGGTCTCAGAAATTGTTGTTTCAAGGGACATCTACAATGTTGATTATCGCCTTCTAGACTCGAGGATCTATAACCAGACTGCAATCACAATGGCCACCGGAAACGCCATTAATGACTCCCAAGAACCCAACACTGTAGACCTGAAGCTCAGCTACGTCGAGACTAAGACCACCACTTGGAACGCCGGTGTTTCCTTGAAGTTGGGTGCCAAAATAACCTTTGAAACCGGGATTCCCCAAATCATTGATGGTAAGGTTGAACTATCAGGTGAGTTTACGGGAACATACACGTGGGGTAAAGCTGAGACAACCACCCAAACACTGGAAACCACATACAAGGTTGCTGTTCCGGCTAGGACCAGAGTAAGAGTAAGTATGCTTGCAACTAAGGGTTCATGTAATGTTCCTTTCTCCTACACTCAGCGTGATACCCTTACCAATGGGCAACAAGTTCCCTACTACATGGACGATGGTGTTTACACTGGCTTCAATTCCTACAACTTCAAGTATGAGACTAAAGAAGAAACACTGTGAGTGTACGTATGATTGCTGCGTCACCTTGCTCCAGTCAAGACTCTCCTCTCCATTAGTATACTTACAATAAAGAGGGTATGATTTCATAAATAAATTTTCATCTATGTTTACTCATATCATCCCTACTATATATAAAAAAAGGAAATAGGTCTACTGTAGATGCAAGAGTATCCAATCCCCTTAAATTTTTGAACATTGCTGTTTGTACATCATTTGTTTGACAGCTTTTTTCACAGCTGTTTCACAAAGGTGATGTCCATGATTATTTTGATCGTGGATCTCACCCAATTGCATGTGTGTGTGCAGTGAAAAAAATTGTGAAAATTGATGTCCTTATAGTGTCTTCCTAAATTTTTTCCCCCTACTGTGAACAAAATAGTGCAGTCTTGGCCTGTACAAAATGCGTTGGAAAATGAAATGTGTTCTACTCTTCAATGAGGCTCATCTTTCTCTTCAATTATTTTCTCTTACTCACATTACTTTCTTCAGATCTGGCGATTGTTGTTGTTGGAAAAATCTGAAAATTCCATCTTCTTCTTGTCATGTTCTACTCTTCAACAAGGCTCATCTTTCTCTTTCTTCAATTATTTTCTCCCACTCACTTTACTTTCTCCAAATTTGGCGATTGATGTTGCTGGAAAAATCTAGAAATTGCATCTTCTTTTTATCTTTGACATTTGGGTTCAAGATTTTTGAAAATCCATGTTTTTCACGTAAAGGCACATAGTTCTCTTTTTTCGATTATATCCTCTCACTCACTTTACGCTTCTTGTGTGGCAATTTTTGTTGTTAAAAAAACTGGAAATTCCATCTTCTTGTCTTTGGAATTTGGGTTCGATACTTTTCAAGATCCATATTTTTAAGGTTTTATTTTTGTTTTACTTTTACTGACCCTTCATGAAAAGCATTACGGCTAATGAATTTACCAACTGTTTAAGGCAATCTTCGAGAATTTCACCAAACATGATCCCTTTTTTGGATGAATAATGCTATTTACAGTCGTTCACTGCGACAGTCGGCCTACATGGCATACATATAGTAAGTGGTTATTTGATGCATTAATGAATAAAAAATACCACATTAATGCATCAAATAATCACCTGCCATGTGTATGCCACGTAGGGCAACTATCGCAGTTAGCGACTACGAATAGCATTACTCTTTTTGGATAGAAAATTCTGATATAATTGTTTTAATGGTCAATGAACTTAGATCCATTTTTTTGATTGGTCACTGAAATATAAAATGTTGAGTTTTGGTCACTAAATTTAGGCACATACCTTCGACTGCTCACTGAAATTTAAAATGTCGAGTTTTGGCCATTGAATTTAAAAAAATATTATATATTACTCACTGTAAACTTGACATTTTTTAAAGTTCAACATTTTTGCAAGTTACTAATGTACAATATTTTTCAAAGTTTAGTGACCAGAACTCGACATTTTAAATTTCAGTGACCAATTGAAGATATGAACCTAAGTTCAGTGATCAAAACCCAACATTTTAAACTTCAGAGACCAATTAAAGACATAGACCTAAATTCAGTTACTACTGGAACAATTCATTCGAAAATTCTTAAGTTCTCCACTCTTTTGCACTCTAACATGATGTTTGATCCACCAATGAGTTCACCATTTTATGTATATTTAGGATAACTCAACCAGTTTGAATAAACTTTAAGGCCTTGACGAACCTCACTGTCATTAAGAATGTCGAAACTCCCAAACTTGACTTCCTCGTCTAAGAAAAAGGTCCATGTAAATCAAAGTGCTTGTGTTCGTTTTGTAATGATGAACACTTAAATATCGTGATATTTCTATACAACTCTTTGATTATCAATTCAATGCTCAGTTTTTTTATAGATTCAATGTTTACTTTTGTAATTCCTCTCTTTTGTTATCTTTTAATTTAAATGCCCAGTTTCTGTTCTATATTTGGTTTTGACTTCTGTTTCCTACATTTATTGGGCTTTGAAACAATTCAAGCTTTATGATGTTTTTGTATATTTTTTGACTTGCCTTAACATGGTGTTCTGAAGTTACCAGAAATTCTAAAGCCTCTATTGAAGGAAATTATTGAATAGTTGGTAAAATTAGTTGACTAATATAATGTAACTGTAGAGTTTAAATGAAGCTATGACTAATACATACCGACCGTTAGATCTGCTTAAATTAAAGATCACGATTATTTTTCAAAAATACTTGTCAAATCCATATGTAGGAGGAACGTTTCCTGATAAAAAAAATATGCATTTTTTATTTATTCTTGTTTTTATTTCCGATTTAGAAAGTAGATGCATATTGGGAAGTGATTAAATTATAGTCTAATTTGCTTTAACAAACTTTTCATCCACACATTTTTTAGGTCCACAATCACTATTCACTTATTATCTATACATTCCGCAAGACTTACATATTCTAATCACTTCCAAGACATGCACTAGGTCTGAGGTCACGTACGGTATAGTGATTATGAGAATTGATTTTTTGATCTTTAGAGAAAAGAGTGAGTCCCACTTGTAAATGAAAAAGTAAAAAATGACAGTTGAAATAGTGAAATAATGATCAAAAAATTGATTTTTTTGGTGAAAAATTACTATCAAATGGGGCATAATAATTGATTTGAAAGCATCTATTCCATTGGTAGCAATGACTAGACAAGACATAGGTGCATCCATAAAAATGTTCGATGCTAGAAAATTCCCATTCTTGAGATTGCAATTCGAAGAATACCTCTAAAAAGCTGCAATTGCCTCTCCTATGACAGAAACTAGAGACTTAGGTACACAACTAAGAGCATCTCCAATGCAATTTATGGATTGCTATTTAGGTGACGTGCGAGTTGAAAAGGTTTATATCTACGTGGCTTTAATGCGTAATGAACTCAAGTCGATTAATTTTGTTTCTATTTTGTGAGCCTTTACAAGGTTATGATGGCATGTTTGAGAAAGTATTGATACCGTGTCTTACATAATACTATTTAGGTGATAACATTTATTTGAAGTTGCTTAGGCCTTCGATTTCTAAAATACTTTCATTTCAAAAAATGACGAAATTGACTTTTTCAATTCACTTAAGAATATCTCAAGCAATCAATACTGCACTGAAAATAGCCTCGTGTTGATGTAAAACGAATAGTTAAGTTTGTTATTCTTGGTAAATCCTTTTGAAAACAAAATTTTTCAAAAATAGAACTTTAACTAGTTAATGAGTGTCATAATTCATAAGTTTGTGAAATTATCTATCACTTGGTGTCACACATTTGTGAAATTACCGCAAGTGTATGATATCAAATTTTGTAATATAATATGGAAGTAGAGTGTCGAACCCTCAGGGATTGATATTCGAATCCTATTGAGCACTATAATTATTTTAGCTTTCACTTTATTTAGAAAACCAAATTCTGAGACGATGTTTTTATGCTAATCTAAAGTAAATGGGATGAACAATGCAAGCAAACATAGGCAAATTGTAAAGTTTTTGTGAAATTATGAAAGCTTAGGGAATGATTTCACCATACTATCGACAATGTTTTGAACCCCTATAATTACCTCTATCAATCTTTCCAAAATTTATAGGCAAGAACACTAATTAATTATATTCCCTCTCTCGAGTGCCGAATATAATCTATTTTTATATTATAATTCCAGTATCTCTATTCTGAATCAAAAGATAAAAATTATCGAACACGTGGTTCTTAATTGGAACAAGCCTCAAAGATTTCGTACTTTCTCTCGAGACCTACAAAATCTAGATTATGTTGTTCTTAAATCACACCTAAATTTTCCTCTCTCAAGTGCCGAAATTTAAAGTATCCAATCATTCAATTAGTGGCCAATTAATTGAAACCATTACGCAAGAATCAATATAAATAAATAAACGGAAAGATCAAAAGAAAAAATTATATCAGAATCAAAACATGTCTCAAGTTAGGCCCAAAATATTAAGTTCAAAGAAGATGTCCTTTATTATAAAATTAACTAAGTTGGCCTTTTTGAAATTCATTAGATGTCAAACACGTATGCTTTTATAAAAATGAAAGATTGAGTAACTTTAGGCCATTTTATAGCATATGCGTGCCCATATCTAACTACAATTAAAAGAGGCAATGCTCTGCCACTGTTCACAAGCTACGATTCATTGGCTAGCTCAGAAGCCAGATTTCTCCACCACCAGAAGAATTTTTAAGTGGTTTATTGTTGGTTGGCTGATCTATTAGTATATTGGGTGGGGAGGCAGTTGTAATATCTCATCTTTTTTTTTTTTTTGGTTTCTAGAATTATCCTAAGAGAGATTGTACTAGAGAGAAAAATCAAGGGTTTTCCTTCGAAGAATTATCCCGTTTTTGGTTTTTACAATCATCCTGTTTGAGAGATGTTGTAGTGGAGAGAAAGAAATCAAGAGTTTTCATTTGCATAGTAACCTTCACCGTCACATCAACGTTGGCACCGAAGAACTTGGCTCTCTTCCCCACCCAACGGCACCTTGCCGTCACACTACATCGGGTCGTAAGAACTCGGCTTTTTTCCCCATCCACTGGCGTCTCGCTGCCTTTATGTACACAACTAGCATATCCAGCCAACCACAGGTGTTTGTTCCATAAAGTTTTTTCTTGCATTGATGTTTGTCTTTCTTCTTTTTAGATGTGAAAATACTTTTTTCAGATACACTGCTTATTCTTCATTATTACTTCTTTAGCTAAAGATATTTGAGAAATTTTAGGGGTGAGACTTATTTGGTGAACATCTATTCTTTTTCCTGGAAGAATTGTTGGTAGGCAGGAAAGATGGTTTTTGTTAAGTTCCATATGAAAAATATTGTATTAAAATTTGAGCAGCCCTAGAATTCGTTTAAGATGGGACCACATCAAAAAGCATTCTTCTTTCAAAAGGATTAGCTAACATATTTTTAGGCTCAAAACCACTTTCAAATGAACACAAATTGATTTCAAAGTGACATGTTTGACAATGGGAAATTTGGTGGTGAAAGTGGAAATTTTGT